AGCTGATATTGTGCATGTTGATGAACAACCCGACACTCCCTATGAGTTACTCTCAAGATAGCTTAGTGTGTGTTTGGGNTAATATCTTTAGGCGAGCTAACTACTCAAGATTGCACGTATGTTGGTACTAGAAAGTGGTGTAAAGTGTATTGTGGTGCAAACCTTGTGTTAGAGGGAAAGAAAGCAGAGAACAATCTTTGTTATGTTGAGGGTGCATGGACTAAGAAATGCATGATCGCTTTCTTAGACGAGGTTGAAGTATTTGTTCAATTGGGTTAAGGAAGGATTTGTTAGGATATCTCCTCAATTATCAAGTATTAACTATGCTGGAGTTTATTCAATTTTTAGTAATTAGAAAATAAAATAAAATATATAATAAAATAAATAAGTAAATAAATAAAGGTGACAAGATAAGAGTGAAAAGAAGAAAATAAAAGGAATTCACAAAATGAAAAACTATCATGCATGCGAAGGAGGGCCACTGCATACTCTTTGTTTGAGAGGAATTGATTTACCCCTTATACTCCATATCTCGTATCTTATGGTATGAGTGTATTTGCTTGTTTATTTTATTCTTTGTGTGTGTTTTTTGATATATAAAGGAAGCAACACTCCCTTTTAAAAAAGTGAGTGTAGACATGTAGCACTAGCCATAACGTGAGTTGTTTTGTGGAGAGAATATCAATTGTTGTTTTGGTGTTGTGTTTGTTAAACTCCAATTGACATTATAGTGAAAAGTTTAATCCAAAAGGAATGTGGTTTTTCCTAATTGAGAGGGGTTCCACTCATAAGTCCGTTTTGTTTTTATTTTATTCTACATATTTTTTGCACGAAAATAGTAATAAATCAATACATAATAACATGTTAATATGAATAATGTTTGTCGATTTGTTCTAAGATGAATAATAAATTGGATCTAAAATAAATCAGCTTAGATATTCAATTTCTTACTCATATATGAGAGAAAAAGGTTTCAAAATGGGAATTATTATTCAAGCGTATCTTTGGGAGAGCGAAAATACTGTTCGGGGACATAAGAAAGCAAAATCGGGCCCAGATTGCAAACAAGCCGCGAAGCCCAAAGAAAACGGGCCTGAGGCATCCAACCCATGGACGCTTTGGCTGAATTGCAGCCCAAAAATGACACGTGGCGATCAACGACGTGTTGGAGGATGTGGCAAAGCGTCCAGATCTGGAAGCTTTAGGTTGGTCGCTTCGCGTCCATTCCTATATAAACCGTGCCTCCCCCGTCTTTGATACCATTCTCATCCCCAAACATTTTCTTAGTCTGAATTTTTCTACATTTCTTCATATTTCTTAGTTAGGTTTTGGAGTCTTCTCAGTGTAATTTGTAGCCCGGTTCGATCTCCCGACTTCGCTAATGCACAAAAGTAAGTTTTCTATATTTAATTATCGATTTAATTATGCCTTTTCTATATGAATACATGTTTAGATCTATTGTTATGAGGAACTAAATCTACTAGAGATGTGATTCATACTATGGTAATGGTAATTTTTAGATGAAATTGTTGAAATTGAAAATTTTCTTTATAAATTAAATTACTACTCGTATCAACCATACAAATTGTAGTAGTTGTTATTATTGTGAATTTTTATTGTGATTGATTAATTGAAAAATTATTATCCAGAACCTTGAAAATGATAATTGTGTTCATTGAGAAATTGTGATCATGATTAAGCCATATCCTTTAATACGAATAATTAATTTCTATAACTAGAATTAATCATCGAATAACTGTTTAACAATATTTATTCACTAGTTGTAAAGATTTGAAATGAAAATTATTCCAATTAATAAAAGTAATCTATAAAAAACCATTACCTGAAAATGAATTACATCCCTGGATGTTTAAAGTGAGATATCAATCATCACCCTTTTCAAGGATTCAATTATTTGAAAACTTTCAAATTCAACCAGTAAATCTTGATTAGTTAAGTCCTACTTTCACTTTCCTTTGAACCGATCCTAGAAACGATACGGTAATAGATTAGCCTTACCGTAAAGTTGACTCGCTCTACTACAATTGTTTTATCAAATGGCGCCATTGCCGGGGATTGGCGCGGAAAGTTGTTATTTAGCTGACCTCTGAGAATGTTGATAGGGTTGATTTTAAAAAAAACACACAACTTTGAATTTCGATTTTTTTAAAAAAAATTATTTTCGAAAGAAAGTTAAATGAATAACTTCAAAATTAATTAATTAAAAAAATAAAGGTAGTTGTATGACTTCTTATGAACACTAGTTCTCGCAGAAATAATATTCTTCCTGGTACGAACAATCCCGAAATTCTATTCCGTCAACGAACGAGTCGAATCCCGCATCAAGTGAGGTTCAACGATTAGGAAAATAGAGAAGAAGAAACTTCAGAAGAAGAAGAACACCCTTCTAAAGAAGAAGAAAGCGAGTGAGAAGAATAAATTGTTGCGAATCCACGAAGAACGATTCTTCAAGCCATGAGCTTTGCCTATACAAAAGAGGATCCGATATAGTGAAGCCCATACCTTTGAGATCAAGCCAGCTATGATCCAAATGGTATCCAACAATCAATTTGGAGTTTCAAAGGCTAAAGATCCAAGAACGCATATGTTATGGTTTTCCCAAACATGTCAAGCATTTAGATTCAATGGGTTGTCCATGGATCGTATTAAACTCTCTATGTTCCCTTTTGACCTTTGAGATTGAGCAGCAAAGTGGTTGAATACGTTTCCTAATGGTCTCTTTTAGACGTGGGAAGCACTCCATTAGATGTTTGTGCATGAGTACTTTCCTCTTTCAGCAATTGTCAAGATTAAGAACTTGATACAGAACTTCTGCGAATCCCCGTCAGAATCATTGACTAAAGCATGGGACCAATTTAAAGAGCTCCTCCTGGACTAAGGGAAGCCGATAGTTTGATGTTCATTTCTATCAGGGCATACTACTCCCATCCAAGAAAGAGCTTGACCATTCTTCTAAGGTCCGATCTTTCCTTGAGATGGCTCCCGAAGAGAATGAAGAGTTGGTGGAACGTCTAACATCCAATGCTAAGTATTGGTATGACGACCGTGCTCCTCAACCAAAAGCTGCAATGTACGAAGTAGACCAATTCACGGCAATCAAGGCCTGTATGGAGAGTATTGTGAAACAAACAATCAAGGAGCAATTGGGAGCATCATCTAGTTCGCGTCCCACTCAATATGTCGAGCCTGTAAACCAAGCAGAGACATACAATCCAGGGAGCTATCAATCATCTGAAATCGTTCTATCCTGTGAGTTGTGCTTAATTACATAACCATCTCACTACCTAGTGTCATCTCTACGAAGGATCCATAGCAGCAAGGGCAAAAGAAGTTAATCTGGCGCAATATGCAAATGAAGGGGAAGGTCTATGGGCTCTGAACAATCAGGAGCACTGGAGAGAGAGGAACAATTTTTAGAGGAATAATCGTCCTAGGAACGATTATAAGCAGAGCAAATAGAATAATAACAAACGCAGAAACTATCAAGGAAGCAACCCACCTTATGTTGCACCTCACAATCGGCAGAACTATCAAGAAGAATCCATGGCCAAGTTCGAATCGAGGGTAGAGAAGATGTTGATGGAATATATGCAAAGGATGAACAATATTGCAGATGATTTGAAGGAACGAGACAAGACTCGAGACAACCAACTTCAGCAAGTGTTTAAACTAGGAGTTCATGAACAAGGAAATCTTTCCACTACTACTGAGCCAAATCTGAGGGAGCAACTTCAGACTATCACTTTGAGTAGTGGTAAGGAACTTCAAGGCCCAGTGGTGGAAGAAGATAGCCCAGTTGATACGACTACTGGAAGTAACTCTAGTGAAAAGACCAACAAACCTGTGTCCAAAGAGAAGAAAAAGGAAGGAAGCACTACCAAAGCAACCTCAGCAGACCTCTCAAAAGGCTAGCATACCCTTCCCTACAAGGGTAAAGAAGAGTGATGATGAGAAAGCTTTCAAAAAGCTTCTCAATATCATTGGCCAAGTGGAGGTCAAGATGCCGTTAGTGGAAGTGCTGACAGAATTGCCACAAAGTATGGTAAGTTTCTGAAAGACCTGGTTACAAATAAGAGAGATTGGGAAGAATTCTTACTTGTTAGCTTAAATGCTGGATGCTCCACTCTTCAATTCTGCTTGAGGAAATACAGAGGAAGCATAAGGATCTAGGTTGTTTCGCTATCCCTTTCTCAATTAATGATAAAACTTTTAATGATGCTTTGGCAGATCTCGGAGTGACCATCAATCTAATGGCATCCTCTATAATGAATGCATTAGGACTTACTGGACTTAAGCCTAAACAAATGTGTCTTCAATTAGCAGGCAGTTCTATTCGCTACCCTAGGGGTGTAATTGAAGATGTGCTTGTGAGGGTTAATAAGTTCACATTCCCTGCTGATTTCGTAGTTTTGGACATGGAGAAAGACATGGAAAAGCCACTCTTACTAGGGCAACCGTTCCTTGCCACCACCAAGGAATTGATTAATGTTCACGGTGGGGAACTAACCCTGAGAGTGGGTAACAAAGATATGACTTTTAAAATGATGAGTTTTATGGACCATACTCCGGACCCAGCTGAGTTTTGTCACTCAGTTAATATCATTAAAGATAAGGGGTCTATTGAGGATCTCCTGAGCTTAGAAGCGGCATTTCAAGAGCCTAAGTGTGAGGTGTGTAGAGTGAGCAACCAAGCTGTAGCAACTAAGGATCCTAAACCCTTAGAACTTAAGCCACTCCCACCACATGTCAAATATGTTTTTCTTGATGAAGAGGGCAGTGCCCTATAGTCATTGCCTCTGACTTAACTCCAGACTAAAAGGCAAAACTATTGCTTGTCCTCCAACAACATAAGCAAGCAATTGCTTGGAAGCTAGAGGACATCCAAGGAATAAGCCTGGCCTACTACACTCATAAGATTGCCATTGAAGATGGATTTAAGCCTGTTATCCAAGCACAACGAAGGCTTAATCCAAAATTGATGGAGGTCGTCCAGAAAGAAGTGCTAAGACTACTGGATGCAGGTATCATCTTCTCGTACATTCTCAGTAGATCCAATTACATAAAATCCTACTATATATAAAAAGAAAATGAAATAGTATATGTTGTTTCACGCCCATTTTGTCTAACATCAGTCCAAAATTATGGGTCAATGAAGCTCCTCAATTATCAAATCTTTTCTATAGTGAATTGAATGGGCCAGTGGATAGCTTTGGACACGTGAAGATGTTTCGGACTATTTACAGTGCATCTTCTCTGATGATGTATCTAGGTCCATATATCTATCTATCTCTATACATCAAGAAGAGGAAAATGGGAAAAACCTCTGAGACCCATGTACGTATCATTTTTTCCTCATCTCATCCACTCATCTGCTTCTACACAGGATAACACATGGATAAGAAATTGATTTCAACGGGCTTTGTCATGGGAGGAGAGGCGGTTGAAGACTGTAGCGGAATGGCTTCTGGTGAGGTGCTGGCATGGCATCCAACTAATAGATCTGCATTTCTCTCAAAGAGACGATGTGTCTGACTTTTGTCATTTTGATCTCTAAGATCTTGATTTTCACTATGCAATATTGAATGTTTTCTTAATCCATTTTTGGCAGAGGACCGGATTGTGGTGAGGATTATTGTTTTCCGTTCCTATCCAGTGGTGTGAGGGATGACCCTTTAATTTATCACTTTTCCACAATAAGAAAATTATATACGGAGTAACTTTCATGAGAAATAATTCTGATTGATTCTAAAGTGCAATCAATAATGTGCAGGCGGTATATATGATGGGGCTTAGTTATATAGGGATTACGGAGTAACTTTCATGAAAAATAACTCTCATAAGTCATACCAGTCAATTTGTTTCTGCAATGAAATTTTAATTTGGTCAAATAGTGGACAACTTTTTTAATTTGCATTTGTGGTGAATATTCTTTGGCATTGTTCCTTTTTGTTTTGCACAAAGATATATTAAATGAAAATAATGTGCTTGGTGAGATGTTATTATATTCATCTACTCACTACGACAGTCTTGGATGGATAAACTTTCATATATCAACAAATATATTTACGTTTTCTTCATTTCAAAATTTGCTTTAATTGTAGTTTTCCAGTTATACTCCCTCTATCTGTGACAACTTTTCTCTTTTACTTTTTTATCCGTCTAAAAAAATATTTCTCATTTCTTTTAAAAAGTTGCTTTTATCCATATTAATTCTTAACTTAAATATCACATTACATTTATTTACTATTAATCTACCTATCAGATCATATTTTTACCCATCACATCAAAAGACATTTTTGGAAACTTAACTACAAAACACACTCCTTTTAATGGAGGTATTTCCTCCGTTCTTGAAAATAATTCCAATTGTGACCATGTCTCTCTTTTTTATGTAGCACCATGTCTCTCTTTTTTATGTTTGGTTGTTTTCCTTAATATTATAAAGATATGTACGTTTGTGCACAGGTGCCATACATTCACAATTGGATCTCTTCAGTTGCCTATAACGATTCATTCATAATTTGTTAAACAACAGAGCGTAACTGTTGTTATCAAAGAGAAAGTTACATTTTGAACTATAGGTATTTAGTTTTATCTAAGAAAAATGTCTACATGTAAGAGAAAATTACATTTTGAACTATAGGTACATTTCTTTTTTTTTAAAAGAGTTATGTTTAGGTGATGTTCTCTTCATCTGATCTGAATATTTCTGATCTAATTGAAATAAATTTTAATTTGATTTAAATGTAGTTATATTAAAAACTATTTCTTATATGATCTGATCTGATTTGATCTGATCTAATTTCAAAAAGAAAAATAAATAAATACTCTGGGGTAATAAAAATAAGTTAAAGAAAACATGACCTTAGTATCCTAATTTTAGAGTACTACATGTGTATTGTGCAATCCCCCCTACTATATACTTCGGGGAATTGCATTAGACCTTACAATAATACTATTCTTATTGTTGTTACAAATGTAACTCACACTTGGTTGGTAATATGCATCATATTTGGTTGAAAAATTTATGGTTCATTTATATCAACGAATTAGGTGCCAAAGGAGAGTAATGAAATAAATAGTATAGTTGAAAGGAATTATTGGTGTTTACAAAAATGAGAAGGTGACAATTTTTGTTTTTTTTGGTAGTGAGAAGAAGAAGAGAATTGAAACTTGTGGAAAAACGCACACATACACAAAATATTTTTTGATGTTGAAGTAAAAATTAAGGAGTATTGTTTACTTCTTTTAGTTAATTTGTGGTTAATCCAAAATAATTTCTCATCTACAGAGTATTATTAGTTTTCGTTGGTTTGTTTTGTGAAAAACACAAACTTTGTTTGAGTTATGATATCAGTCGTCACTACCATTATTATATTAGGGTCTTAGTGGGTATTACTTTTTATAACTAAACATTCATTACTTCTACACAATGTAATTTATCAAAGCTTTATTTTAGAATTACAAATAAAAATTCTTCCCGTGCATTGCACGAGTTAGAATCTAGTAACTGATAATACTAAAATTACTAACATTTACTTAGTTGGTTACAAAAGTTGGTCAGTGTGTTGTAAGTGGTATGGGTAGGACTTGTTTCCCAAATATGGACACGACTATTTTTTTTTTTTTTAAAAGAACCTTAGCTGCAGGTTTCTTTTTATATTGGCCAAAGTTTAAAAACGTCAAGTAAGCAGAGTCAATCAGGAAGAAAATTCCTGAATAGAGTAATTGCCATATAGAACTCGAGAAAGTATTCATGTATAACTTTTTTCTGAAATGTCTCTCAAATAATAAGAGACAAGTATCATGTTATTGGTTCACAGTTGAGAATACAAATCAAATACATGAATGAAGCCTTGGGTTTCCTAATGACTAAATTGACTTAGAAGGCATAACGGTAGATTGCATCAGCTGCTCCATCTTCATCATTGCTCAAACCAATCACATTAGCCACAGCCTTTGCCTTCTCGGATCCATTTCTAAGAGCAACACCCAGACTAGCCAGTTCAAGCATCTCTACATCATTTTCCCCATCGCCAATGGCCATTATCTAAATACCCATAAAGATAAAAATAAGTTTCAGTTAGATGCATTATATATTTGAACCACAATGCTCTAAGCTTAATTCCATTCATGAACACTTGCTCTTGAGCATTTCTATTTCTGTATTCATGATATAATATAGCATATGTAATGAAGCCATTAGAGATTCTATTTAGGAACCTTGGTGCAAAACACAGTAATTTCCATCATCTCTGATGGAGCCAAAATTTCACCATTTTTTGGCTTTGGGGTGTGATGGAATAAATCAAAATGGATCTCTAAACTGTCTGCGCTTCTTTAATTAATGAAGTAGCAGTTAGTCAAGCAATGCAACTTTCGACGTTGAGCCGGGGGTCTCTTTGGAAACAGCCTCTCTACTTTCGAGTAGGGGCAAGGTCTGCGTACACACACCCTCCCCAGACCCTACTCTTGTGGGATTTAACTGGGTTGTTGTTGTTGTTGGTGCAAAACACAGTAAAGGCATGATGAGCTGAGTACTACTTAAAAACAATGCTCGCTTAATACCTCGTTTGGACTAACACCCAAATGATCAAGAAGCATTTTAACCCCTATGCCTTTGGAGGTTCCATACGGAACAATTTCAAGCATGTCTGGTACAGCTTGTACTACAGAAGCAAAATCCCCAGCTGCTTCCTCCCAATATGGCCTCAGCGTAGATGCCACTCCTTCAGCTGTGTCTAAGAAGATCATCTTCTGCAGATTCAGATATATTCTGTGGTGAGAAAATCCAAAATAGTAATTTTTGTGGCTGTCAAACATGTTTAGCCTTATAGCACATTGAGGTCGGTAAGTATTTTAATAGTGTCAAATAAGAGCATCTTCTGCAGATTTGGATATATTAACTGGTGAGGAAATCCAAAATACTAGTAGCACTTTTGTGCTGTCAACATGTTTGGCTTTGTAGCAAATTGAGGTAGTTAAGTAGTTTCAGATATAGTGTGTAAAAAAGTCTATCTTCTGCAAATTTGATTAATATTCTGTGGTGAGAAACAACAACAACAATAACCCACTTGAATCCCACTACTCTGGAGATATCAAACTGTGGTGAGAAAATAAAAAGAAAAATGTTTATGACTGTCAAACTTGCTTAGCCAGATAAA